CTGGGATCATGACCTGAGCCGAAGGCAGCTGCTTAACCAACTGAGCCACCCAGGCGTCCCAGAAAGAGAAAGCTTTAGGATATTAAAGAAATTGAATGAGTAGTTAAAAAAAAGGTTTACAAAGGAAAATATTAGGCCCAAATAGTTGTACAGGTTTATTCCATCCAATTTTCAAAAAAAACTCAAATCATTTCACAATATTAAGAAAAGAAACTACTCATTTTATGAACTTAGTTTGGACTTGATATGAAAATCAGAAAAAGACAATATGAGAAAAACAAGCCAATCTCACTCAAGAAAACAAATCAGAACATCCTAAACAACACATTAGCAAGGTGAAACTAGTAGTGCTAAAGATAAAAAAGATGCTTAATTTCACTGATAATTAAGGTAACAGAAATTAAGACCACAATGATACTGTTTTATACCAATTAGAATGGCAGAAATTAATAAGTCTGATAACATTAGGGGATAGAGAGGATGTAGTCAAGAGAATTACACACCACTGGTAGGAGTACAAACAGATACAAATACTTGGGAAAACACATTGTATTATCTTCTCACACTTATGAATTAAAAAAAGTTCCAAAAAACTATTTATAGCAGTATATATAGTTTTATGTAGTTCACAAACAGGCAGAGCTAAATAATATTATTTGGGGAATCATATATACGTTGATACAGCCACTTCAAAAAATCGAGGGAAGACAAAAATTTAGGATAAACAGTTACCTCTGGGAGGGAGGCAATAGGATAGCAAAGCATAAAGACACATAAGTAGATGCATAGAATTGGTAGTGTTCTCTTCTTGGGCTAAGTGATCAGTTCATGGGTATTCATTTAAAAAATACACTGTGTAATTTATGTATTTGCTATATTTATTTTCCTGAAATTACTGAAAATTAAAACAGATAAATAAAAGTGGACTTCGGGGGCGCCTGGGGGGCTCAGTCGGTTAGCTCAGGTCATGAACCTAGGGTCCTGGGATCGAGCCCCACATTGGGCTCTCTGCTTGGCAGGATGTCTGCTTTTCCCTCTCCCTCTGTCTACTGCTTTGCCTCTTGTGCTTTCTCTCTCTGCCAAATAAATAAATAAAATCTTAAAAAAAAAAAACCCAAAAACTAAAAAAAAATAAAAAATAAAAAAATAAAAGTGGATTTGGGAGTGCCCAGGTGGCTCAGTTGGTTAAGCATCTGACTCTTGATCTCAGCGTCATGAGTTTAAGTGCTGCACTGGGCTCCAGGATGACAAAACCCCTTCCCACATCTTTAAAAAAAAAAAAAAAAAAAAGTGGACTTAATAAAGCATATACAGGGCACCTGGGTGGCTCAGTTTGTTGAGCGGCTGCCTTCAGTTTGGGTCATAATCCCAGGGTCCTGGGATTGAGTCCCACATAGGGCTCTCTGCTCAGTGGGGAGTCTGCTGTTCCCCCTACTTGTACATGCTCTGTCAAATAAAAAAAAAAGAAAAGAAATAAAGGCATATACAATTCTCTACGTGTATAGTCACTTGGGGGGGGGAACTATAAAAGATCAGCTTCCTCACAGCTAATAAGGCACTATTAAAAATTTGTCTACTCCCAAAATATGCATGACCCACTGTTGCCCAAGTCCTTTGAGGAGGAATGTTATTAAAAATTATAAGCAGAAAAAAAAAAAGCAGAGGCTTTACAGTAGAATTCTCAGCTCTGCCATAACGAGTTGCCTAATTTTTTAAGTTTATTTTCCTCATCTGTTGAACAGGCATGTTAGTAACTGCTCCTATCTCAGAGTGCTAATACGAGAATCAAATGAGATAATGTCTGTAAAATCATTTTATAAACAATAAAGTGCTTTAGAAGTGGCACCAGAGGAAGTGGCACTGAAGGGCATTTCGTGTACCTTGATGAGCTGATTATTCTTCACATAATGCAAAGTGTTTGACCGATTACCTCCAGCGACCACGGGCGGGTAGGCCAAGATGTCTGCACCACGGGCCCGGCATTCAAATTCAAACTGAAAAACAAGAGCCAAGCGTGACAGAAGACAGGATTTCCTCAGGACTGTGCCAGCCCAGGCTCCCTCCAACAAACAGCCCATCTCTCCATTCAAGTCCTTCTTTTCCATCATTACTGGAGAACGAGTCATCAAATCTAACCGAACTTCTTATACTGCAATTCCACTCTATTTTTTATTTTCCCCCCCATCCTGTTATTTGACCCTATTATTAAGTCTGTTCTGTTCCTCTGAGTGCTCCAAATTTCCTGTGATTTTCAAATTAAGTCCAGAAGAGAACACAGAAAACCTACGATCACGGCTGAGTACAGAGATACAGTCGAGTAACACTCCCATTTTTTATTCTTATTTAGGTAAACGCTGGAATACAGCTTCTGGTTTTAACGACAGCTCTGCATTACTAATTTCAACTTTTTTTTTTTTTTAAGATTTTTTTTTTAATTTATTTATTTGACAGACAGAGATCACAAGTAGGCAGAGAGGCAGGCAGAGAGAGAGGAGGAAGCAGGCTCCCTGCCGAGCAGAGAGCCCGATGTGGGGCTCGATCCCAGGACCCTAGGATCATGACCTGAGCCGAAGGCAGAGGCTTAACCACTGAGCCACCCAGGCGCCCCACTAATTTCAACTTTTTAAACAGCTACCAACCTACATGTGCTGGAAAAGTGAAAAAGGATGCTAGGCAAACGGTAAATTCTACTGCTTTTACTTTGTCCAAGGACAAAGCCAGAGAGTGGCAAGAAGCGGCTGCTCTTTCCAGTACTACTCCAATTCTTGTCCTTTGCATTTACTTGAACAGTATTCTCCGCTCACATTTGACTTAAGTCTTTGCTTCTTCGTCTGTTCTGCTTTGCAATTTTCTTCATTTAATTGTAGCTCTGTGTATTTTAGACATATCTAAATAAATTATCAGTGACCTTTAAGAACCAAATCCTCTCCACTGATACCCTGGTCACTTACATAAAAGCCAACTAGATGCCATCTGCAAATCAATGAAATTACTTTATTTACTATTTTCACCTCCAATAAAACCTTTCCAGTCTTTTAAAGCTCACCTTGGCATAAAGAAAGCCTTCCTCCACAGGAGCTTTACTGGCAAACATGGTCTCTATGAAAGCCTGTAAACAGAATGGAGGATGAACAGTCTCATTTTAAATAGGTTGTTTACTCAAACATTCAAAATACTGGAGCTCAAATGAAAAGCATCCTTCTCCCCAATTTTGTTGACCTGAAGTTGTGACTTTGTGTGTATGATAATATAGATTTCTGAAGAGGAAACTATTGCTTTCAGGACTATTTGACTGACAACATTTAGTGGAAGGGCAACTCAATAATCAGAACATATAGTGGTATGCCAGAATAAGCTACACAGTTACACATTTGTCATTTATGTAATGAAGTAGCCCAGAAATGTATGGAATTACAGACTGAACAGTCCAGTCTATAGTAGGTTTCCCAACCTCAGCACTGTCGACATTTTGGACTACATAACTCTTTGTTGGGTGCCAGCAGCACTTCCCCACTGTGCTAATCAGATACTGCCAGATATCCCTTGAAGGACATAACTGCCCCATGTTCAGAATCAGTGACCTAGAGTATAAATCCTTAATTTCTCTGTGATAGCCATTCCACATGTGTGTTTGTTTCCTTTTTTTATGAACGTACATGTCTATAATTCACCACTGTACCCTAATCCAAAAAAAGATTTTTATTAGATCTGATAGACACACAAAATACAACTCATGGCAGAGTTAAAGAAAAGCAAGCCTTAAAAAGAATGGAACTCAAAAAACTAATAATGCAAACCATAATGACCTTCACGATTACTATGGTAACTATGGATGGGCCGCAAATTTATCTGAGTTTTCTAGCAGCCAGTGTGAAAAGGGAAACTGTCAGCTCTATTTCCCACATCTGTGGGATAAAAATAAATCAGCTGCACAAGGACAGGATTATATGATTCTACCACTCGATTCTCTCAAGTTGTTGTGTTCTAAGAGTGAAGGCAACATGGGAAGGAATGTTTCTGGTAACATTTCTCCAAATACAAGGCAATGACATCACCATAAAGCCCAACAGAGGGAAACAAGTGGGCTGGCCATGGAGACAGCTGCGACTTGCTCCTGCTCCCATTCTGATCCTTGCTCAAATGTTTCCTCCTCAGAGAGGCTTTCCTGACTGCCCTATCTCACTCAGCACCTCGACCACACTTCATCCCTTTCCACTGCTTCCTTTTTCTTCAGAGCATTTAATTTTAGCTGACTATACAGCATGTTTATTTACTGTCTCTCCTCAACTAGAATGTACAATGAGGACAGGGACACATGGCAAGCCTGTCTTGCTCACCACTGTGTCTCTAGAACCTAGGAAGTATCCAGCACTATAGTAAATAATAAATATCTGCTGAATGAATTAGCAATTACAAAGGAAGTTAAAGGATACTTAGTTACATACACACACACAAGAATATTGACAATTTGTCAGTGCTACATTTTTAGCATGAAGCTAAAAAAAAAAAAGGACAAAGTGTGGTATCTCCACTGAGGCTCACTCAAAAGAGGGATTTTTCTTCTCTTTGCTGCACCCTTTGTCTTTTTATTAATTTCCTTTCAAAACTTTACTAAATAGCACAGAAATTTTGTGCGTGCACACATACACACCAACCCCTTATATATGCGTTCATCCACTGATGGATGAGTTATTTGCAACTTCTGGCTATTGTGACCACTGCTTCTGTGAACAAATATTAGAGTACCTGTTTTTAATTCTTCTGGGTATACACCTAGGAGCAGAGTTGTTAGGTCACATGATAAATCTATGTTTAAGTTTTTCAGAAACCTCCAAGCTATTTCCACAGTGGCTGAACCATTTCACAATTGCACTGGTAATGTAAAAAGGTTCCAACTTTCTCACTTGCCTACCAACACTTGCTATTTTCCGTTTGCATGTATTTTAATTTTTTAAATTTATTTTTACATTTTTAATCACCCAGTGCTCATCACTACTGCACTCCTTAATCACCTATTTCACTCAACCCCCTACCCACCTGACTTCTGGTAACCACGTTGTTTTCTATAGTTCTCTGTAGTTGAGAGTCTGTTTCTTGGTTTGTCTCTTTTGTTCCCTTTGATCATTTGCTTTGTTTCTTAAATTCTGCATATGGGTGAACTCATGTTATCTTTCTTTCACTTAGCATTACACCCTCTCCATCCATATGGCAAGATTTCACTTTAAAGGTTAATATTTGGGGCGCCTGGGTGGCTCAGTGGGTTAAAGCCTCTGCCTTCGGCTCAGGTCATGATCCCGGGGTCCTGGGAGTGAGCCCCGAATAGGGTTCTCTGCTGAGTGGGGAGCCTGCTTCCTCCTCTCTCTCTGCCTGCCTCTCTGCCTACTTGTGATCTCTGTCTGTCAAATAAATAAAATCTTTAAAAAAAATAAAGGTTAATATTCCATTTTATCTATCTACCTATCCATCCATCCATCTGACTCTTCCTTATTAATTAATTGATGGGCACTTGGGCTGCTTCCATATCTTGGCTATTGTAAATAATGTGGCTATAAACACAGAGGTGCACATATCCCTTTGAATTAGTGTTTTTGTATTTGTTGGGTAAATACCCAGTAGTGCAATTACTAGATCACAGGGCAGTTCTATTTTTAACTTTTTTTTTTTTTTTAAGATTATTTATTTATTTATTTTTCAGAAAGAGAGCGAGCGAGCACGCACAAACAAGAAGAGTGGCAGGCAGAGGCAGAGAGAGAAGCAGGCTTCCCTCGGAGCAAGGAGCCCGATGCGGGACTCAATCCCATGACCCTGGGATCATGGCCTGAGCCAAAGGCAAAGGGTTAACCAACTGAGCCACCCAGGCATCCCTCTATTTTTAACTTTTTGAGGAAACTACTGTTTTCCATAGTGGCTGCACCAGTTTTTATTCCTACCAACAGTGCAAGAGGGTTCCTTTTTCTCCACATCCTCGCCAATACTTGTTTCTTGATTTTAGATTTTAGCCATTCTGACAGGTGTAAGATGGTATCTCACCATGCTTTGACTTGCATTTCCCTGATAATAAGTGATGATGAGCGTCTTTTCATCTGCCTTTTGCCATCTGCATGTTTTCCTTGTAGAAATGTCCTCTGCCCTTTTCAAAATCAGATTATATCGGGACACCTGGGTGGCTCAGTTGGTTAAGCGGCTGCCTTCGGCTCAGGTCATGATCCCAGCGTCCTGGGATCAAGTCCCACGGGGCTCCTTGCTCGGCAGGGAGCCTGCTTCTCCCTCTGCCTGCCACTCTGCCTGCCTGTGCTTTCTCTCTCTGACCGAAAAAAAAAAAAATCAGATTATTGTTTTTTTGGGTGTTGAATTGTGTAAGTTCTTTATATATTTTGGATATATTTTTGGATAGTTATAATATGTCATTTGCAAATACCTTCTCCCATTCTGTAGGCTGCCTTTTAGTTTTGTTGATTGTTTCCTTCACTGTGCGGTAGCTTTTTATTTTGATGTAGTCCCAATAGTTTATTTTTGCTTTTGTTTCCTTTGCCTTAGGGGACCTTTTTTTTCTTTTTTTAGAGAGAGAGAGTGTGCGTACATGTGTATGAGTGATGCAGTGGTGGGGGGAAGCAGAGGGAGAGAATCTAAGCAGGCTCCATGCCCAGTGGGGAGCCCGACATGGAGCTTGATCTCATGACCCTGAGATCATGACCCTAGCCAAAGTAAAAGCTGGATGCTTAGCTGACTGAGCCACCCACATGCCCCACAGGGACCCTATTTAGAAAAGAGATGCTATAGCCGATCTCAGAGAAATTACTGCTTGTGCTCTCTTAAAGGATTTTTATGGTTTCAGGCCTTGTATTTAGGTCTTTAATGTATTTTGAGTTTATTTTTGTGTATGGCATAAGGAATCGGTCCAGTTTCATTCTTTTGCATGTTGTTTAGTTTTCCCAGCAGGATTTTATTGAAGAGACTGTCTTTTCCCCATTCAATATTCTTTCTTGCTTTTGTCAAGATTAATTAACCATATAAGCATGGGTTTATTTCTGAGCTCTCTATTCTATTCCATTGATCTATGAGTCTATTTTTGTGCCAGTACAATACTGTTTTGATGACTACAGCTTTGAAATAACGAGCAGTCCAGAACTGTGATGCCTCTAGCTTTGCTTTTTCAAAATTGCTTTATTTGGGGTCTTTTGTGGTTCCATACAAATTTTAGGATTGTTTGTTCTAGTTCTGTGAAAAATGCTCTTGGTATTGTGATACGGGTTGTGTTAAACGTGTAGATTGCTTTGGGCAGATAAAGTATTTTAACACTATTTGTTCTTCCAATCCATGAGCATGGAAAGTCTTTCCAGTTCTTTGTGTTGTCTTCGACTTCTTTCATCAGTGTTTTATAGTTTTCAGAGTACAGGTCTTTCACCTCTTTGGTTAGGTTTATTCCTAATTGTAAGTGGGATTGTTTCCTTAATCTCTTTTCTGCTGTTTCATTATTGGGTGTATAGAAATGCAGCAGATTTCTGTAGACTGATTTTGTATCCTGCAACTTCACTGAATTCGTTTATCAGCTCCTGCAGTTTTTTAGTGGTTTTTCGGGTTTTCTCTATATATTATCACGTCATCTGCAAATAGTAAAAGTTTTACTTCTTCCTTACCAATTTGGATACCTTTTATTGCTTTTTTTGTCCGACTGCTGTGGCTATGACTTCCAGTACTATGTTGAGTAAAAGTGGTGAGTGGGGACATCCATGTCTTCTTCCTGACCTTGGGGAAAAGGCTGTTTCTTCCCACTGAAAATGATGCTGGCTGTGGGTTTTTCACATATAGCCTTTATTATGTTAAGGTATGTTCCCTCTAAATTTACTTTGTTAAGGGTTTTGTCATGGATCGGTATTGTACTTTGTCAAATGCTTTTTCTGCATCTACTGAAATGATCATATGGTTCTTATCCTTTCTCCTGCTGATGTGATGTATCATGCTGACTGATTTGCAAATACTGACCCACCCTTGCAACCCAGGAAAACAAACCTCACTTGATCATGGTGAATGATTTTTTTTTTTAATATATTGCTTCCTTCAGTTTGCTAGTACTTTGTTGAGGATATTTGCATCTATGTTCATCAAAGA